ACTTAAACCACAAAAGTCATTGGTGAAATTATAACTAATAGAGACACCTCCGTATATACTAGGTGTTGTCCCTACTCTATGTCGTTAAGAAACGAGGTTGAAACTCAAATTTAAAACATGCTTAATGATGATTCAACAAAACCTCACATAAGGAGTCGGATATAGAAAAATCCGTTTTCTGAATGAACGGTGGTAAATACGATTTCACAACATTAGCAATTCCGGTGATGAGTACGCCTTACCTAAAACAAATATTCGAAACTCTTGAAGACGCCAATATTAAAATTTATTCGGACAAATATAGAAGCCACAGCTAACATGCCCAACCAAAAAACCATCAAGCAACTCTGGCTACTATCGCTGTTATATGAAAGATTACGCCAGGGTGGCTAAACCACTAATAATGCTTTTAAGAGGGGAAGAAGCCCATAAATGTGCTAAAATAAACATTAAATAAAACAACGAAGCAAAAGATGAGCTCCACAAAATTAAAAAACCCCTTATTTTCATATACTGACTTTAATAAAGAATTCCATTTATATTTATAATCTTAATAAATAAATTTATTTATAAAAAATGAAGAATGGTTTGATGTTAGCAAAAAAATAAAGAAAAGTATATCTACCAAAAAAAAACTTAAAAGCTTTGTGTTATATTCAAATTGTTGAATAATTTTTTTTATTTTTTAATTCGTTTTGAGTTTTAAGCATCGTTTCCGTTTATTCTGATAATTTATCCCATAAACTTATTATCGAAATTTAACAAACGACAATGTTGGTTTAAAGAGAGAATATCCCAAACATTTTATTGTATCTTTCTTTTCAGAGACTAAAGATAACTTCAAAAAAAAACCTAAAACTGTTTATTATTAAAAAAGTAAGCAAAGTGCAATAAATTATTAATATTAGGGTACAGGGCTTCCAAAAATGCCACTAGTGCTGCCATCCCCACACCTTACGTGCTTTTCTCGTAATGACGGCAGACAAGAAGTATGACTCCGCAAAGTCACATTGCTACTGCATAAATTGCTTAGTGATGCGATTCTCCACACAGCTGTCAGGGCAGATTAGCGCATCAGACGTCTGGTTACCGCCCTTTTTTTACGACGAACCCAGCGTTACCCACCTACCGCCCAACCGGCCGATGGACGCGTCTGAGGGAAATCGAAAAATCCAACAGGCTGTCTGAAAACCAGTAACAGTCCGAACTGCCCTGAACCCGAAACCGATAGCGGAAGGTCGCGGTTACACTTGCTCTTACACTAAACAGCTACAAATTTGTTCATCTGCTACTATAAAATTGCATGGGGAAAAGAAGAGGGAATTTATATAATTATTTAAAGCACTTAGTAAGTAGATTTTGATACAGAAAAGCGAGTCAAAGGAATCAATGTTGGGGAAATTTGTATTAAAATCGTTACACAAAGATCTAAAAGGGTATAGATGATCCTAATGGGATGGTAAAGTTAAGTTCGCTAATTAGAAAAGAGCTATTGATAGTACCTCTTATCAATTTAGATAAAAATAAAACTCCAAGCATCTTTCTACGACTATGGAGTGTAGGGAGATGAATGAGCCGTAAGCGACCTTTGTAAGGAGGCAGGTTCTTGCTCGCATCCCAGTTTAAATTTCTTAACGCGAATAACGCAGATTCCAATTAATCACTATACAATTGATAGTGCAGACTCCATACAACTGAGCCATATTCCCAAATGGACCTAACTAGTGAGGTAAATGATAATTTGGTAATGTATGGGTCCTTGAGTTGCTTGGCCCAACGTTTAATGAAAGCTGAAACTTCTTTTTGTTTTATTACCACTAGCATTTATATGATTTATAAAATCTAGCTTACAGTCCATTGTGACACGTAAATCAATGAATCTAGAAACTTGTTCAGCACTGTGATTGTGTGTCATATAGGCAAAGGATTGGAAAGATTTTCTGGAGAAACACATATATTTGTACTTATTTAAATTTAGAGACATACAGCTCGCATCGCACCACCTAACTAAATTATTTAGATCAAGTTGCAAAAGCTTTCTGATGAACTGATTTAAAGAGTTTGACATCATCTGCGTACATTAGTATTCTAGAATGAAGAACAACTTTTGGAAGGTCATTGATGAATATAAGGAAGAATAAAGACCAAGGTGACAGCCTTGAGGAACACCAGATGTTATTGCGATTTTAATTTTTAAAAATAAAACCCGAAATGATCGCGTTTAAAGTGAAGTATGGGATGAGAGACCTTGTCAAATGCTTTGCTGGAGTCAGTGTAGATAACATCTGTTTGATTACCATTTTTGAAACCATTACTGACGACAGGTTTCACCTTTGCGAAACCCATGTTGTGAGATGTGTATAATTTGATGACACTGAATGGGATAGTTGTTCAGTTATAATAGCTTCAAAAATTTTGGGGATAGAAAAAACCTTTGCTGTCGCCCTGTAATTCTATATTGAAAATCTACTACCTGATTTATGTAGAGGTACAATGTATGACTCCCTCCACAGAGAGGTGAACCGCATGTGAATGAGCTCTTAAGGGCATTAAGATGGTGATAAACAACAGCAACGGATATATGTGGTACTATAACGCAATCAAAAAACGGCATTATGTAAAGGTAAATGAATGTCTGCAGGCTTGAACTTGTATTCGGCACATAATAAGATTCGAAACAGGCTGCGAACATATCTGCGGTTCTGTAACAATCGTTAGAAACTTCATCATTCATTTTCATAGACGATGGAAACCCAAAAATCTTACGTTTCGAATTAACAAAACTATAGAATGACTTCGGATTCGAAGTAATGTTATTTTGAATTCTATGACAAGAATCTTCTTGTAACACGACTTATTCAAAATATTATACTATTGTCTAACTACGGAATAGGCACCATAATCTGAAATTTCGCCGGTCTTTTTATAGAGCTTGAATAATTTAGTCTTTTTATTTTTCAATCTATTAAATTCTTTATTAAACCATAAAGCATTTTGAACACGGATCGGCTCATTTGTTATAGGAACAAATTTTCTGAAGGCAGAATGTAAAGTGCTTGTGAAGTAAAGAACGATTTCTTCCACATTTATCGGGAAATTGTAGACAGCGCATTTCTTAGATTAATATAATCTGCCTTTTTAAATAAAAAACGAGAATTTTTCGAATGATTTTAACCTTGACGACAGAAGAGAGTAAGTAGAAGAGTCAGAATTTGGCGGGATATAACTGGCGACAGTATAAATATTTTTATTAATTAAACGTATTTTAACACAAAGGAATTCCATCGCTTCCGATTTCGCAAAATGAAATACTTCCGCAGCAATGTCAGTTTGAACATCAATAAGTACTCCACCACCAATTAGTTTAAGCTGTGTAAATATAATTTAAGTTAATATCCGTTAACAGTTTTTTTGGCTGAGAGGAGGCTACAGGTAATTGTGCAAGATTGTTACTAATCTTTCTTTGCTTTAATTCAAACTCTCGGACAAAAGCACCATTCGGCCAAAATGAAGAGTTCAAAAGTACGTCGAAGCAAACGTCTATTTTAAAGGAAGCTATAGATCTTTAATAGGAAAAATTGAACTTCCTAATATCCAAACTGACTGCATTTAATTTACCTGATATATAGGATCCCACGTCATCCGCAGTTGTGTCTTTTGCAAACCGCGATACAAATATGGACTTCCTTTTCGGAACCACAACTAGCTCTTTCCTAGCTGTGGTTAAGGTCGAGGAAGGTGGAGAAGGAAGTAAACGCTCCGAAGCAGCGACTATTTCAACATGATAAGATGCAGTCGATGTAGTAGTAGGGGAAGGGGCAGGTGTAGATGGAAGTGGTAGCTCCAGATACACCACCTATAGGGCTTGGAGGAATGTGTTCCCCGTGGTAAGGGGGACTGATTAATGAATTTATAGGAGCGTCCGAAGCGGTAACTGGATTTATAACTATCCAATCGTTACTATGTTTTCGCTTCTTGGACCCTGGCTTCATTTTCGGGGAATCAGACAAACCAATGCCAACCAACCAATTTAAACGCATTAAATGCGTTCTCATATTTTTGAAATTTTTCGGTATGGTCTTTAAAATACTTCCATTTTTCCAGAAAGCTACTCCTTGTAGTTTTAAAAAGTTTAAAAATGTCAATCTCAACATTTCTACATTTTGGGCATGACCAGCGAAGGCCCTTGCCATCATGTATTAAGTGAAGGACACTACCGTTTAAGCCGGCGCATTTAGCGTGGGCTAACCTATCGCAAAGCCAACAAGAAATATGACGTTCGGCATCACTTTTCGAACGAACAGGCCACCTTTTATATAAAATAAAAGTAATGAAAATAAATAAATAAATAAATATATAAAAAGACAATAACAAACTTAAAGTTACAGAAGCACTAAAATAATATAACTTAGCAAGCTTAGTGAAAAGCGATTAGCGAAAGCTGATTTCTGTTAAGCGAAAATAATGAGAATAATGCGAGAGAGAGAAGGTTATAATTTATATGTGTAAACAAAACGAAGAAGAAGAAAAATAAATAAATAAAAAGATAAAAACAAACTATAACCCTCTCTCTTCTGAATCTAAATAATATTATGTATGTATGTATGTAAAGAAAGCAAATATATTAACTAAAAAAAAATTGTTAGCACTATTTAATGTTGAAAAGTGCCCAAAAATCAAAAGATTTTTACAGAACACTTAGCTACAACGGTGCGCTAATGTTTATGACAAACTTTTCAGATAAAATTTTGGCACTTTAAACAGACGTTAGATGTAAACATTAAAACAACCGTATGAACGTATGAACGAGACTTCACGCAAACTGTCAGAGCGCTCAACGTTTCAAAGTCGGAAAAAAGTAAAACTCAGGTTGCATAATGAAAATAATTAGGGTCTTGGGTATCGACCTATTGGAATTATCAAACGTTATATTCAGTTAAATATTGGTATATAAATATATAAGAATATAAAAATCTCACTTACCCCTCATCGTGTATTACCTGTCTTCTACCTTAAAATACTCAACATATATTACCACTTACATCTTATTGCCTAAAAACTTACCTACCTCTATGACTGAATATGTGAAGAAAATATATGTGAATGAACTCCATATCTTCCTCACCCCACCCGTAACTACGTATCCTTTTATATTAAGAATTTTACAATGATAGAACCAATTGCTTGCCAACATCAATAACATACGGTTATGCTAACGGGAAAACGATCTTAAGACAAAAGAAAATTATAAATAAAAATAAAGAGAAATTGTGAAAAATTAAATTAAATTAAAAATTATGTTACTTATTTAATCAGAAAATAACTAAGATCTAATTTAATCTGTAAACACTGAATAATATAATACACAATATCTTATTCACGTGTCGAAAAAAATTTTGGAGCAACATTTTAATCAAAGGAAATTCAGCGATAAGGAAAATGGTGAGAGCACATTTGCATTTTACCTTTAACTTTGGTTTTTTTATCCTTCTGTAAAAAATAAAACTGTAAAACAATTTATTATAAGCACTGTAAATATTGTTTAAAAAATGCGAGGCGAATGTCAGATGAAAGAGAGAAGCCGATAACTAGTACATTCTAGAAACGATAAAACAAGAACCTTCGATAGCGAACAAATCGATGCTTCTACGCTTTCGTCTGCGAGCAGCCGACAGCTATATAAGGGGACACTCAGCTGCCAAAAAGTTAGTTACAAAGTGAACTGGTTTGCGTTAACATCAGTACAGTCGTAAAGTAAACGCGTTGGAGATTACATTTAAGTAAAGTAAATTGTGAAAGTTGATGCTAGTGATTGTAAATAGTAAAGTGTATTATAATTGAATTGTGAATTACGGAGTAAATAAAGGACATTAGATAAAATCTTTATAACGAAAGAAACTGCAAATTAAGTTGGCGAGTTTTATTTAACAATCCAGAGATCGTACCCGAAGGAT